CATTTTTGAAATTGTAAAGCTGATTTGTAATCTTTGTCCTATTAGACTTGTAGGAAATGGTAAGCCATGAAAATTAACATTTCCCAGAACTTGCTCTTTCATAAAGTAAAGAAAATTTGCTGTAATAAAGGATGGAATATCAAGAAAATAAGGTGAAAAATAAAAGCTGAACTTTATTCAAATGGACTACTCCAAACATCTAAAATTATGGGGTGGGAAATCTACATGGGGACAACCTTATACCTAAAAAATCTTAAAAAATCTTGGAACTAGATTTCTAAAAAAACTTCATATTGGGAAAAAGGTTTCCAGAAACTTATGGGTAACTTATGGCAGCCTACAGTGGGGGACGTCGCAGTGCCCGGGCTGAGCACTGCTCTCACGTCCCCTTGCTCGGCTCTGCCAGCTGAGAGGCGAGCTGGAGCTGGGGACCTCAGAGCTGAGGGGAGAAGTGCAGCCTCCTCCTCTTCCAAAGGCCCCATTTTGCCACTCTCTCCTGCCTGGGCCTCTGCAGAGAGCTGAGGCGCAGGCACAGCCGCATCAGGGCAGCTTCTGCCTCAGCAGCTGCAGCAGCTCCTTGCTGCAGCCGCGTCCCCGGCAGCAGCACCGCCCTGCAGAGACCGAGGGGCTCTGGTGCTTCTCCTGCAAGACACAGAACGGGGAGAGAGTGGGGCTGAGCCCTCTTGGGATCACTTTGGACGCCCCAGGAGACAAGCTGGCCTGGCCAGGCTGCCCAGGGCTGAGGCTGCAGGGAGAAGAGCTCTGAGCAGCTCAGCCTGGAGTGCCTGGGACCCAACCCCTGGCCCTGATTCCCTCCCTGGGCCGCAAGTCCCCCTCTGCCTTGGGGCCTTGGGCAAAGTGCTGCCCAAGAGGGCCAGGACCCTTGGGATCTGACCAGCTTTTCTCCTCCATGGCGGCTCTCATGCCTCACCCGATGCAGCCTTGATTCAAGGCCATCTTTCATGCTTACCCCTGTACCAATCCCAGCTGCCTGACACCCCTCCCTCACCTTTCTCCACCATCTCCAGAGCCTTCTGCCAAGGCTGTGGACAATGGCCGTCAGCAGCATCTCCACCACTGAGGCCACCAAAGCCTCTGCCACCGCCATGACCCACCAGGGGGTCGATCAGGGCTTGTGGCCTGCTGCTCCATGACCTAGGGAAGCTCCTTCAAGGTGCCCATGTCCCCCTCAAGATGGCTGGAAGGGCTGAGGGGCTGGACCAGCATCAGGAGCATGCAGGCGCCCAGAAGCCACCGGGAGCCGTAGCCAGCCATGGTGCTGCTGTAGCTTGAGCTGCCACCTCAGCACTACTCTGGCCGTGTCTCCGCAGCAACTGCTGCTCCTGCTCTGGGCACAGCGACAGGTTGGGGACAGTTCCCAGCCACCCTGCTGGCCCCAGAGGCTGTGATGTCACAGAACCATGGAATCAATTGCCTTGGGAGAGCCCTGTCACATTACTCAGCTTAGCTGGGGACCCATCCCCAACATGGCAATGCCAGCAGAGCTCTGAGGGCCACACCCAGCCTTTCCTTGAACCCCTTCCACAATGGAGACCCCACCACTGCCCCAGGCAGCCCGTTCCCATCTATGATGCCCCTCTCTGGGCAAAAGTTCTTCCTAATGTCCAACCCACACGTCCCTTGGCACAGCTTAAAATCTTGATTGGCATTTCCTCTCTCCTGTCCTTCCCAGCTCTGACAATGCTCAGGCACTGCCTCATCAGAAAGTTGTCTCTAGGCAGGAGAAGAGGCTTGGCCCATAATTGTTGCTCAACTTTCTGGCCATCCCAAGGGGCTGCTTCTTCTTCTTTGATGTCTCTGGCATCTTGCCACTTGGAGCACAGTGCAGGCCCAGATACAGCAACGGTGCTCAGTGAATGCTTGAGGCTGCCCAGCAATGCCAGGGGTGAGCCCCAGGCCTTGGTGGCAATGCCAGCTGGAGCAAGTGACCCTGGCACAGGAGGGAGCTGGAGCCTCACCCAGAGCCCTGCAGGAAGGAAGGACTGGCCTAGAGCTGCAGGGGTTCTTGTGGCCCAAGTGCAGGAGCCAGCCCTTGGTTCTCTTGAATCTCCTGCCTCTCTGGAAGTGGTTGATACTTGAGGCACTGTTGGGAAGGGCAGATAAATATGATTAAGAACCACAATAGTACAGCCAGGATGAATATAACGCCCCCTACTGGCTGGACAATAACCCTCACTTACAGAGGGGTCCAAAAGCCAAATAGACTGTTCCATCTCACCCCCCAGAATGTATGTTTCACCCCACACCTGTAACCCTCCCCTGAAACATCAGGTGTCTATGACCCCATTGGCCCAAGTCCTGTTCCAGCCCACCTTGGAGCCCCCCTTGATAAGGGGTCTCCGGGGGGGCCAGACGCCCTCTTGGATCTTCTCCTCTCCTCCTGGAACTTCCTCCGGGAGTCCCTGCTCCCCCCTTTGTCTCTCCCCTCCCCCATCACCTCAGGCCCAGCCACGTGCTGCTACACAGCATGAGGCAGGGCCTTTCTGCATTCTGAATAAACCTCATCCCCCAAGAGCAACCAACAGAGATCTCGCTTATATTCACCCCAATCCATCTGTGGAACCCCCATCGAATGTCTTTACAGACTGGCGCCCAATGTGGGGCGGCCGCGGCAACCTGCAACCACACCCGTCTGGATGCCTTTCCAGCTTTTCTACCTGTAGGACACCTTTCCATGGACAGTAACTAAATAACCAGGTATTTCCTCCCCATCTGTGTCGTGAGCACGGCATTTCATTGCTAGGCAGCGCCGAAGCCGGAGCTCTTTAAAAATTGCCGAGGCAATCCTCGAGCACCACGACTCGTTACCAAGTAGCGAGTTTTCGGGGCCCTTGGAGGATTTCTGCCCGTTATATCTCCGAACAGAGGCGACCGCCGCGATTCAGTGGCGACCTAAAGCTTTGTGAGGAGATTTGCCGTGGCACACTGCCACGTGCACAGAGCATACGCGAGCACTGCTTTGCACTGCCCGTGCTGAAGCTCTGAGGGGGGTTTGGAGCTCCCGAGCACCGGAAGCCATCCCGGAGTGACGCCCGACCCCGGAGCTCTGAGAAGACCCCCGCGGAGGGTCCTCAGCACCGACTGGAGTGTACGTCGGAACCCGACAGAGGACCCCGCTTCTGCGACACCGAGGTGAGCCACACTGGTTTAAAAATGGGACAATCCCACTCTGCATCTGATCGAGATCTCTATAAGCAACTTAAGCACCTTTTACATAGCCATAACAGTATCTTGTCTAAGAAAGAGCTAAGAAACCTCCTAGAATGGGTCTTACTTAATTTTCCGAATGCCGAGTGCTCTGCTGTGTTTTATGGAGACTTTTGGGAGTCAGTGGGACATAGACTTTTTTATGATATTTCATGGCGCGATCCCTATGCTTGCGGACTACTTCCTGCGTACATGACGTTAGCAGAGCTCTGCGCTTCTCAAAAGCCGTTGATAACCGCCAAACCCTTCCCTGCCGCAGCCCCGCAATCCCCCCCGAGCCGCCCCGCGGCCCCCACCCCCGCAACTGTCCCACCCCTCCCTGCCGTGGCCACGGCTTCCCCCCCAAGCTGCCCGGAACCCGCCCTTGCAGCCACCTCTTCCCCCCCAAAAGCACTCCGTGGGCCCCGCCTCCGCCCCGCCCGGCCCCCCAGCATTGCCTGTCCCGTCTATGGTGGCTACTATAGCCGAAATTCTACAGACTCAAACAACGGCTATTTTGCAGGCACAAACTCAAATATCGGGTGCTATTTTGCAGGCGCTGCACGCGCTTGCTGCCGCAGCTGCCCCGCCGAGCCGCCTGGAAGCCCCCCGCCCTGGCGACCACACCGGCCGTACCGTGGCTCCCGAGCGGGCGACCCCCACTCCTGCGGCCACGCCCTCCCCCCTGCGCAGCCCAGACCCCACCCTTGCTTCCACCTCTTCCCTCCCGAGCTGCCCAGAACCCCTCCCTGCTGCGGCCACGTCTCTCCCCCCGAGCCGCCCGGAACTTGCCCCCGCGGCCGCGAACCCGGCACCCCCCGCGCCTCCCGGAGATGCCCCGAGACCCAGCGTCATGCCCCTGCTGCCCCCCCCGCCTCATGGATCCGTGGCTGGCCCCCTCGGTGGCTGCAAACCCGACCTCCCCACCCCCATCCACTGTGCCACAGCCCACAGTTCTGGCTGCAGAGCCCCAAAAACCCCCGTCGGCAGCACTTCTTGGTTTGCTGACTCTATCACCATATCCCACCGCATCCCTCCCTCCGCCGGATCTACATTGTACCACTGTACCCAAAGCCACAGCTACAGAATATCCTTCCACGAATGCCGGTTCGTCACAAGTGCTGCTGCCAACAAGCTCCACTCCTCCTGCTCTTCTGCCTCAGCTGACGGCAGCTCCTGCCTCCCGCACAAGCAGCTCCCCACAGCAACTTGGCACAGAAACCACTCAGCGAGAGGGAGGAGGAAACAATGTGGCATCAGTTTTGACAAATAAAGGACAGACAGAGAACTATTTTACCCCTGCAAACCCTAACCCTCCTATCCCGATTTTACAAAATTCTCAGCGAAGTGGTGACAATCTCCAACTGACAAACTGCCTTGAAATCAAATATGATAGCCGCAAAGAGGACAACCTGCATCCCCAAGCCATGCCAGTGGTACCCAGCCAGCAACCTGCTAATCCCAGGACGTGGACATTTATCCCTTCCCAGGACTTAAAAGAGTTGTGAAAAGCAGTTAATGACGGTGGTATATCCTCTTCCTATTTCAAACAGCTGTTGAAAAGTACCCCGGAGAGACACACACTCACACCGCATGATTGCAAGCATCTTGCCACCACATTTCTTACAGACTCACAATATATATTATGGGATCTTAAATGGAAGAGAATGCTTGCAGGGGTCCTGACTACATATAGACAAAGTACTGATGCAGACCTTCGCACCCTTACCTTGTCTAAATTAACAGGTGACCCACTGGATGATAAGATTGAACATCAGGCGAATTTACCCAAAATGGTATTAGATGATGTCAAGAGGATGGCTCGCAGAGCCTTTTTACAGATTCAGCCAGCGGGAACTTCTGAAAAGGCATACAATCTAGTTACCCAAGGCTCATCTGAACCATTCACCACATTTGTAGACCGGGTAATTCAAGCTACTGAAAGGCAATGTGGTGATGATTTGGCCCAGCCGATAATGATCTGGGACATCCTCAAGAATAATGCCAATGCCCAATGCAAACGAATCATCAAGGCCTTAGGGAAAGAAAGACCTACAGTGCCTGAGATGATTGAAGCATGCAACTGTGTTGGGAGCCCATATGATGTGGCAGTCGTCCAAGCAAATGAACCCAAAGAAACCCAGGGAGACAAACTGGAAAGGGCTCTTGCAGCACAAGCACAACAGGCAGAAGCACGAGACCAAAGACTTACTGAATTTCTGGCTGCCCTGCATCTCAGCTCCCAGCAACAGTACAACACCATGGCTTCATGCAAGCTGCTCTGCCTTTGGGACCTTGCTACCTCTGCAAAAAACCTGGCCACATTGTAAAGGATTGCACGGAAGTCAACAAAACCCCACAAACGCCTGATTCGTGCACCACCTGCAAAAAAGGAAAACATTTACCCTGGCAGTGCCGATCCAAACAAGATGCGAGTAGAAGACCCAATCCAAAAAACTCCAAGGCAAGCGCGCCGCGCCACCACGTGATGAAACAAATGGTGGCCCCCCAAACTCCCAAGGTAAAATCTGCGAATACCCCAATCCCAATGCCCTTCGCTGCATCACCAGCACAATCCCAGCTAATGACCCAAGCTTACTACCCCCAGGCACCTGGGGCACTCTGGCGACCTCCAAACCAACAACCTTCTTAAAGGATGATGGCTATGACTATATTTCGACAGGAATCACTGGGCCTTCACAACTCCGGCAAGACTTTCTAATAGTTGGCAAAGAAAGGAATTGCATCCTGGGGTTACTTGTTTTGCCTTGTGTAGTCTCTGCTAACTGCAATGAAGAACTATTAGTGCTAGCCAAGGCTTACTACCCCCCATTGCATATTCCACCTAGAACCCCTATAGCCACTGCCATTGCACGGCCTATGGGAACCATGGACCAGATACCACCACGTTGCTTCCCAGTCACCTCTGAAAACCCCGAGGTCCTATGGGTTCAACACATAAGTGAACTAAGACCGATGCTAACTTGTGAATTATCAAATGGCGGGGTTCGAGTCACCATCAAGGGGATGATTGATACGGGGGCAGACATTTCTGTAATTTCTTCTTGCTATTGGCAAACTGATTGGAGGTTGGTACCTCCCCCAGGCACTCTCACAGGCATCGGAGGTATCACTCCGTGCTTGCAAAGTGAATCTGTGATCAGCATTGAAGGACCTGACAGGATGAAAGCATTGATTCGCCCCTATGTGGTACAGAAACCCATCACAGTATGGGGAAGGGACTTGCTTGCTGCATGGGGTGCTAAAATTGAACTGGGTTTTTTGTAGGGGACACTAAAGCACTCAGCACTCTGAAACTGACCTGGAAGACTGACACCCCTGTCTGGGTCGATCAGTGGCCCCTGCCAGATAACAAGCTGAGTGCCCTCAAAGAACTGGTAGCAGAACAACTGCAGAAGGGCCACAGTAAGCCCACTAACAGCCCCTGGAACTCACCTGTATTTGTGATCCATAAGAAAGCCTCTAACACCTGGCGACTGCTACACGATCTCAGAAAAATCAATGAGGTGATCGAGAACATGGGCCCTCTCCAGCCTGGCCTGCCCAACCTGTCCATGATCCCCAGAGACTGGCCTCTTATCATCATAGATCTGAAAGACTGTTTTTTCAACATCCCACTGCATCCAGATGATGCTCCTCGTTTTGCCTTCTCTGTCCCGAGTACGAACTTACAAGAACCGCTTCAAAGGTATCATTGGCTTTCTCTGCCACAAGGAATGAAAAACTCGCCTACTATCTGCCAATATTTCGTGGCCCGCGCGCTGACTCCAGTCCGCCAGAAGTTCCCACAATCTGTTATCCTCCACTACATGGATGATCTGCTTATTGCAGCACCAACGCAAGAACAGATGAGAGAGACTTGTAGTTATGTTGTTGCTGAAGTCAAAAAAGCTGAACTGGTGATCTCTGAATCAAAAATACAGGAAACTGCCCCCTGGAAGTATTTAGGTTGGAAACTGACAGATCAGTCTATTTACCCCCAAAAGATACAGATCCGAACCGATGTCCGCACTCTGCAGGACTTACAACAGATTTTAGGGGAAATCAATTGGGTTAGGCCTGTCCTAGGAATAACTGCTGACGAACTTGCTCCACTTTTTGATTTGTTAAAAGGGGACAATGAGCTCAGATCCCCCAGATCTCTCACTCCAGAGGCTTGTAAGGCCCTAGAACACATCACTGATGTTCTGCAGAACAGGCAGGCACATCATTATGTTCCTGGTCAACCCTTTTTCCTTGCAATCTTGGGGGAAAAGTTGAGGCTGTGTGGTCTCATCTTCCAATGGGACTCTTCTCTCAGAGATCTGCTGTTAGTAATTGAATGGGTTTTTATTTCCTACAGGTCACCAAAGACAATCCTCACACCTTTAGAAATGATGTCACAGATCATCATCAAAGGCAGAGCAAGTCTTCTTTCAATAGCGGGCCGTGAGTTTGAAACTATTTACTTGCCCATGAAAAAAACCTATTTTGACTGGGCTATGCAAAAATCAGAGGACCTGCTGTAAGCCTTGCCGGACTTCCCAGGCGCCTGCTCGATTCACTACCCAGCACACAAAATGATCAAAGCCAAATTATGTTACAAGGAAAAGCCCATGATCAGTGAAGAACCTTTAAATGCAATCACTATCTTCACTGATGGGTCAGGGCGAACACACAATTCAGTTGTTACATGGCAAAATACAAATACTAAAACCTGGGAACAAGATGTCCAAAAAGTTGAAGGTTCCTCTCAAATTGTTGAATTTGCTGCAGTTGTAAGAGCATTTCAGCTCTTTCCGGAACCTTTCAACCTGATCACAGATTCGGCATATGTTGCTAATGTCATTAAGAGAATTGAGGGATCCGTTCTAAAGGATGTGAACAACGAGTTGTGTCTTTGGCTCACCTGTTTATATTGCATTTTATCACACAGAGCTAATCCTTACTTTATCTCTCATATCAGGGCTCACTCTTTTCTTCCAGGATTCATGGCAGAGGGAAATGCACGTGCTGATGCACTGGCATCAGCAGCGTCTGATGAGGAAGGTACAGCAGGTGTTGAAAAATCCACCTCAGTGCTTGCTGCAACCACCTTGCCCAACACTATTGAACAGGCCAAATTGAGCCATGCATTTTTTCACCAAAACGCACAGGCCATCAAACGAGACTTTCGCATTTCCCTAGAGCAAGCACAAAATATTGTACGAGCTTGCCCAAACTGTCAGCATGTGCAACCCCTCCCCCCTTCAGCAGCCACCAACCCGCAAGGGCTAGAGAGCCTACAGAAATGGCAGACAGATATCACTAAATATCCATCTTTTGGGAAATTTAAAAACATCCATGTCTCTATTGATACATTTTCAAATGCAATTTTTGTCTCTGTACATACAGGGGAGACAGCCAAGCATGTCTGCCAGCATTTCTCACAAGCCTTCTCCTATTTAGGTGTTCCCCAAGAGATTAAAACTGATAATGGTCCCTCATATACCTCACAAGAATTAGCTACATTCCTGAATGACTGGGGTGTCCGCCATGCATTTGGCATCCCTCACTCTCCCACGAGTCAGGGAATGGTAGAGAGAACACACCAAACCCTAAAATGCATTTTAAATCAACAGAAAGGAGGAGTAGATCAGGCTACACCTCAAAAGAGATTGAGTAAGGCTCTGTATGTTTACAATTTTCTAAATAGCTCTACAGAAGAGCCTGACCCCCCCATCTATAGACACTTTCTGAACAACAAAAAAGCAAAAATTAAGGAACACCCCCCAGTTTTAATAAAAAACTTAGACTCAGGGCAAATAGAAGGGCCATACAACCTCATAACGTGGGGAAAGGGTTTTGCTTGTGTTTCTACAGGTCAAGGACTCAAGTGAGTCCCAGGAAAGAATGTGAAGTCCTACCATGCACCGAAATCTGCTGGCACCCCCACACCAGACAGTACTTCTGCAAGTACAAGCCAAGAAGCCAGCACCCAGACCTGAACTACGCTGCGTCATCCAGAGAAAATGACCTGCCAGAAACAGCTCGAGAGAAAAATGGACTTTTATCGTTTATATGAGTGCATGTTGCTTTTGTTCTTCTGTTTCAGTTTTTGTATTGAAGTTTTACTTGTAATTCAACCAAAGACAAATGCCTGGGTAGCTTTATCCAAGCCTGCAAGCTCTAAGACCACCTATATATCTAACACAAACCCTAACAAACCTTTTTCAACCCGTTTAATTATAAGACCTTTTCCAAAAAATTCTGACAATGCCTCCCCTACTATAATCAGTGATTTGATAACAATTAGCCCATCTCAGCTACACAGTTTACTTAATGGTTTGAGCTTTGCACCTTGGCTAAAGGAACTCTGTAAAATAAGCTTGACTGCTGCAGTAGTAATAAGTATAGTTTTAGTAGCAATACCCTGTACACCTCCAAGTGTGCAGAAAATAATTGTTAAGTCAATATTTAGTATTTCAAATGGTTCAGTGAAAACAGGGGAGATGTTGGGAAGGGTAGATAAATATGATTAAGAACCACAATAGTACAGCCAGGACGAATGTAACGCCCCCTACTGGCTGTACAATAACCCTCACCTACAGCGGGGTCCAAAAGCCAAATGGACTGTTCCATCTCACCCCCCAGAATGTATGTTTCATCCCACACCTGTAACCCTCCCCTGAACCATCAGGTGCCTGTGACCCCATTGGCCCAAGTCCTGTTCCAGCCCACCTCGAAGCCCCCCTTGATAAAGGGTCTCCGTGGGGCCAAACGCCCTCTTGGATCTTCCCCTCTCCTCCTGGAACTTCCTCCGGGAGTCCCTGCTCCCCCCTTTGTCTCTCCCCTCCCCCATCACCTCAGGCCCAGCCACGTGCTGCTACACAGCACGAGGCAGGGCCTCTGCATCCTGAATAAGCCTCATCCCCCAAGAGCAACCAACAGAGATCTCGCTTATATTCACCCCAATCCGTCTGTGGAACCCCCATCGAACGTCTTTACAAGGCACCATATGATAGATAGCCTGTGTTACAGCATTTATGATCTCTATGCAGAAACAAACTTTTGAGTTTTCTATTTTTTAATTTCTAGATGAATATTTATTTAAATTTCTAAATACTGACTTTTTTTTTGCATTTTCTGTTCTCTGTTCTAGTGTAGTACAAATAGAAAGAACTAATAACATAACAATGAGTCAAGGCTGTAATCCTGGCATCCTCTTCAGCCTCTTGCTTTTGACCCACACATCCAGAACCTGTCTAAATCTTACCACATCCATTTTAATATTTTTTTTGTTTTAATTTTTGCCTTCTGGTTTTACTACCCAATTGTTTTTGCCATTGCCCTATGCTCTTGATATGCACAGAGATCAACTCTGTTGAGATTTGCTATTGTTTTCCCTTAAAACACCTTTTTCTCATGTTTTTCAGACACATGAAATACAGATAATTGATTATTCTTTCGTAATGTAGTGCTTCCATTCCCGTTAGTTTCTCACTGTGTCAACAGCTTTTGGATCTGTTTAACAACTTTGGACACAGTTGACCAGCTCTTCACTTCATAAAACCTTTTTGTGCTTTCCTTTGAATCAGCATAGATATGTTAGGTAAATTCCAGGAAGTCCACTTTAAAGTTTCTTTTCAAGCACTTCATACTGTTAAGCATCAAATCAATAACAATCAGATCTGCCCTGACTATAATCCTTGCCCTTTTTTTTAATGGGGAAAGGAATTATCAATTTGTCATCTAATTCAGAAACTTTCACAGAGTAATACTACAGGAAATTATGAGACACATTAGTGCTTTCTAGAGCCTCCTTTTTGGCTTTCTCATCCTAATCTTGGATAATTTGTGTAGAAGGTCTTGTGTATGATCAAAGAATCAGTAAATTGAGGCCATGTTTAGGGAATAATGTTCTACTACCTGACTGCTGGTGAGATGTAAAGCATAGGAAAGAAAAGGTGGGAAGAGAGGACTTTGTGTGCAAGTTCTGAGTTGTTACTGCTTTTGCTGCTTTTCTTTCATTCATATCCATCAGGAATTTCATGGTCAAATACCATGTTTTGAATTGCCTTTTATTTGAATACTAGAGTTTGAGAAATTGATTTTTCAATTAATTTAAGGACAGGATTACATAGGCAGTAATTGTGTCTGCTTCAACTTTATCAGTTGTGCATCAATGCTTGAATAAACAGGGAAACAGCCGTATATACAACATAACCAGTTAGCAAAAAAAAAAAACCCAAGCAAATAACAAACTAAAGAAATATTTTGCCTCCAGAAAATCCATAAAAGTGTGGCTCACTTAGGGAAATCAAAAGTTTTGAACAACTTCAATGCTGGGAGAAACACCAGCATTGTGTCTTATCTTTCTGAGTTCCTGTGGTGGCAAGCACTGCGGTTACTTTGTGGAAACATGTGCTGCAGCCAGCAACTGGAGCTGCCTGGATCATCTCCTGATTTTCCATGTGCTTCGTGTTCTTTCTTAAATACAGCCTATATCAGCTGCTAAGGTGTTTGCTCATCTGCAGTGCTGAAGACTGAGAGAGAACGGTGGAGGTTTGTAGACCATCAGACATTATGGGAACAAGCTCTGGAAGGAGATGGCAAAAGGTAATTATTGGGGGAATTCAAAATATACTGGTGAAAGAAGCTTCTTGTGCAAATGTATTCACTAAGCATGGTGTCAGTATTCTTGCAATTAGGTGTTGTTAATCTGTCATGTCTAAGAATGACAAAGAGAGATTCAGTTGCATTCCACACCAAGCAAAGGAGTCACTTTCAAAGTAAGTTACAACACTGATCTTCATTATGCGGCAGCAAAGACCGAGTTACTAAAAATTACATCTTCTGGTTAAATTTCTTAAAAAACAGGCCCATGTGAAAGAAAACTGGAAAAGAGTAATAAAAAGTAAGTTGTTTCTTGTATGATAAGGTGTCTTTAATGGTTGTTGTGCCTGCCAGTTTAAAAAGCACGGGCAATGCACTGGAAAGCCCTGGAAAGATGGAGTTGCTGTGGAAGGCCATTGTTAGATGAGATTTCCCATTTCTAGTGAAGGAAAATATACATGAGATGATTTTTGACAAACTATTGGTGAATATCAGAAATATTGTATCAAGTTAATTAAACACAAACTCTCTTTAGAAACTGTAAGGACAAAAATCTTTCCTGTGCTCATATTTTTATGAGAAGAAGCAGCAGAATGTTATCTTTTGGTACTGTATCCAGATGCTTCCACTATTTTATTTTTTAAATCTAAGGGATCACGCTCCTCATCTGAACATACTGGGACTCTTTGGAAATGGACCAACATGTGCAAACCCAGAAAAGAGCACAGTGAGGTGCACCTCCACAGCTGAAATATGTTTCAATCATACCCAGGCTCTCACTTTGAGGGTAAAAACAGCAACAATTATTTTTAATGTTTTACAAACAGAATATATTGATGCTGATGTGATTCCAACAGTTAGGCCATGTATAATCTACATGTCCCTTCAAATGAAATGAATTATCTAACACTTTATATTAGTTTTGCAAAAAACA